ATTCACTATGTGGGCGAGGAATTGACCTGATGATATTGCGAAGGAGCACTTGGATGGATTCAGCTTCATGTTGTACTTCTTTAAGGTATTGAAAACTTCCTGTAGATGCTTCGGATGATCTTCTTTCTTCACACTTTTAACCATCATGTCATCTATATATGCTTCAACTGTCTTTCCCAGCAGATTATCGAATATCTTGTTGACAAGGCGTTGATAAGTAGCTCCAGCATTATTCAATCCGAAGGGCATGACCCTATAATAATAAGTCCTCTTTTTTGTAATGAAAGCCGTTTTTTCTTCATCTTCGGGGTTCATAGGAATTTGATTGTATCCCGAGTATGCATCTAGGAATGTCAGCCTCTCGTAGCCGGCGGTAACATCAACCATCTGATCTATCTTGGGCAGAAGGAAGCTATCTTTAGGGCAGGCTTTGTTAAGGTTGGTATAATCTACACAAACCCTCCACTTTCCATTCTTCTTTTGTACGACTACCACGTTTTACAGCCACTGTGGATATTGTACTTCTCGAATGAAACCTGCTTACAACAATTTGCTCATTTTTTCAGCTATAATGTGATTGCGTTTGGGGGCAAACCTTCGGTGTTTCTACTTAACCGGTTTGAATTCCGAATCCACCTTCAGACTATGGCAGGAAACTAAGGGATCGATCCCTACCATGTTCGAGTAATCCCAAGCAAAGGCATCTGCGTTGCTCCGGATAACATCAATTAACGCCTCTTTTTCTTCGGACGTGGAGGAAGAACCTAGATAGGTAACCTTCTGAGGGTCGCCGAGGAAAACTTCCACGGCTTTAAGGGTCTCCTCGGTGGGCTTCGCAATTTCCTCTTGCTCCTCTACCTTAATATACTTGGGCAGAGGGCTCTGTAATTTCTATTTGGGTCCAGTTTTGGAAGCCACACCTGGTTGCTGTTGAGTTGACACCTTCTTTGCTTCAACTTGTGTCAACATATAGCATTCCTTCGCTGCGACTTGATCACCCCACAGATTAATTACTTCTTTCCCGTCCGGAGATAAGCACCGCATCACTTGGTGAAGGGTGGACGGAACTCCTCTCATCCGATGTATCCAGCCTCTTCCCATGATGAGATTGTAAGTAGGATGGATCTCTGTTAAAACGAAGTTCTCCTTCAGAGTCCTCTTCGCCGCGATTACGGACAAGTCTATTACTCCAAGGGGATCTACTCTTGTGCCATCGAACCCCATCAACGAGTTGGAGGTTGGTCAAATAGATGATGACTGGATCTCTAGCTACTCAAAGACCGTCTTTGTGATTATGTTGGCGCTACTTCCTGGATCTATCAAAACCCTTCAGATCATACAATTGGCCACTAAAAGACTGATGACCAATGGATCCTCGTGGGGGAGTTGAACTCTGGATAGGTCTCCATTTCCGAATCCAATACTAATGCTACCCGAAGTGATAGCACTGACCTAAGATATCCTCCTGAGCTTGTGGGCTGCCTTTAGTCTGGATCTGTATACCTCCTCGGACTCTTGATCATCTTCAGACCTGCCATGTATTGCATGGATGACTTTTACTTGCGTACCTTCCACCTTGCGGGGATAGACCTCGCGGGGCTTTGTATACTCCTTTGTCATGAGATAATCCGTCAACTTACCTCTGGCGATCATATTCTCCACATGTCGACTATGGATCTGCAATCATTGGTTGAATGCCCATAATCTCGATGATAAGCGCAATGCTTGCTTTTGTCCCTTTGCTCCAGGGGTTGTTTTATTGGCTACGGAGTTGTGAACTTCATCTTATTCTCTTGGAAGAGCCGAGCCAAGGTAGTTCGGAGAGGTGTAAATCCTTCCTCTACCCTTTGCCTTTTTTCGGGTGCCTGGGTTATCGGCGTTGAGGAACGTTAGCTTTTTTGAATCTTTAGAGTTGGAACTCTTTCTCGAGACTTGTTTTCCACTGTCACGAGGGTGGCGTGCTGCGCTCGGTGGGCTATATTTTCCTCAAGCCGAATGTAGATCTGGGCCCTGGCATTGAGAGTCTGCATGTCGGTAGGAGAATACTTGACTAAGGAAGTGTGGAACTTCGTCCCCTGAATCATCGCGAGTTTAAATGTCTCTATAACAGTTGCGGGATGACAATCCGCTATTTATAAGGTTTCCATGTTGAATCTTGACAAGAAATCCTACAATGTTTCCCCCATTTTTTGCCTTACGGTGAAGAGGCTGGCCATGCTCTTTTTTTGCTTCTTATTTCCGCAATACTGTGCCAGGAACATGGTGCATAGAGTTACGTAATCCGGAATGTACTTATGCGGTCTATTCCTGAACCACTTTAGTGCTGCTCCTGTCAAACTGGTAGGAAAAACTCTGCACATCCAAGGGTCATTACGATCATCCAAAGCTATCTTTTGAGCGTAATGATCTAGGTGCCGAGAAGGATCCCCTGTTTCATCAAACTGGGTGAAGGAAGGCATGGTAAATTTCTTGGGCCTCTCAACCAGACACACATCGTTAGTGAAAGGAGTTTTGACCAAGGAATTTTTGTGTTCTCTAGCCATCTCAGCAGGTGTCTGAATCTTCAGGAGTCTCTTCTCGTCAAAGGCACCCTGAACACTTACACCATCTGCGATTCCATTGGACCACACCGTAAGCTTATGACTGGATTCAACTTGCTCATCTTGTGTGCGACGAGGGACGTTATCTGAAGCCACAGCCTCGGATTTTGCCCTCCGTTGTTGCTGAACCTCATTCGGCTGAGCCTCATTGGGTCATGCCCCATTAGGTGGAGCCCCATCAGGCGGAAGTCCAGTAATCGGAGGAATATTCTGACTAGGGGGTGCTGCTATGTCACCCACTGGTGGCGTTGGTGCTAACTGAGCCAGCGCCGTTTGCAGAGTATTATTCTGCTGTTGAAGCAAGGCGATCTGAGCCACGCTTACTTCGTTTGCCTGACGAAGTACGTCAAACTGGTGTAAAAACTCTTCACGCATCTTCTGCATCAACTCCATCTGTTGATCCGTTGAAGATCCTCCGTTCAACATTCTGGATGGTAGCTGCAGGATTCACCTGTGAAATAAAAAACAAGAGTGGGAATATATTTGCACATGTTTCCCACAGACGGCGCCAAAGTGTAGGTGCAAAATTTCGCCCAACCAATAATGATTAGGAGAAATAACACAACTCACTCAATAAATAACAAGAACAGTATCTAAAGAAGCATAAAATTGCTTGATTCTTTTATTGGAGGTCTGGGCCTCTATTTATACACAAAAGATTGGTTGAATTATGGTAGGACTCGCATTACTTGTCCTCCAATTCTTTCCCTACAGAAATTCCTTACAAATAGAGCTCATTCCTTTGTATAATTTTCCTTGTGTAGTAGTTTTTTTCTTTGCTGTATTCTTCTTCTAATAGGACTAATTTCCTTTCAATGGATTTGGGTTATAAGTAACCTGATCCATGTGACATTGCTAATGGGCTGAATCTCTTGTTTCGGGCTTGAGCAATGCTACAGAGATCAATTATCTGCGACCTTGGGTTAGTGTCTTATGATTTTGGGCAGTCAACGAGCTTCGACTGGGCTTTGAGCAAGATGGGCTTCTGACATTTGTAATGAATATTTACATTACGATGACGTGTACGATTTTTATTAGAGAGAGATTTTTCCTTCCACACTGTCTCATTTTAAATGTTGACTTCATCGTAAGTCACAATTTTTAAAGGAGCGTTTAAAATGGAACAGATAAAGTAATACTTATAATTTTTAGGGCACAAGGAGACGTAGAAGTGGAAATGAATGGTAAAGACATTGGAGACTTTAAAGATGGGGCGTCCTCTGACCTAAAATGGTCCTTGTCCTTGGGACTAGAAATGTCGTTTCAAATAAAACATTTGATTCAGTACACAATATTTATATACAATGCATGAGTATTGTAGAAATTAATGGTTGCTATTGCTGTGTTTTTTACCCGTGTCTGACTTGGGTACAATTAAGCGTAAAGAGGACAATAGGTGTATAATGTTTGTGGAAATTTATGAAGTGGGGTCCAGCCCCACAACTATTGATCCACCAGTAGCTCTCACATGGCATCGGAACTCGACCTCCCGTTTGCTTGTGAGTTCTGTACAACCTTTATTACACCATATTTCAATACTACAGTACCTACTGACATGTTTCAGAGAAAGAACAAAACTTCATCATCACTCCTTGTACTTATTAATGATATTTAGATAATGATTCATAAGTGAAGAGACTGAGGAAATTAATTGCAAGACAGAAAACAGAGGATAATGCGGAGAAAAATGAGGACATATTTCATATAATCAAATCTTAACTAGTTGAAAAAAAGACATGTTTTTCGAAGTGACGTATTCAATAATGCGGCACCAAAACACGAGGAAACAGTTAGTAGATTTTCCTAGTTGTTGAGTAATTAGCAACCTTCACGAACATACTCTTACAAGAGCGCACTAAAATTTGTATTTTTATGGGCACTAGCAACATGCTTTTGACACACTGGTGGTAAATTAAAGCAACATTTTGGAACTACACCAAGAAAAGAGCATCTCCTCTGTGATAGTTTTATCTTCACTGTCGGCCAATCTGATAGGAAATTTAGTGATATGTTTTACAAAAATATTATAATGTTTGATCTTTTATTTCAACATTTTGGCATCCCAATATTCAGAACAGATATAATACATAAGAGAGAATTTTAAATCCTAATAATTTTGGCCCAACCAATCTTTAATGATAAAAGATATTAATTCACATTGACCGAGATTAACTAAAGTCTTAAAAATATATTCAAAAAAAAAAAATATTATATTATCCGGTTCAATCACTAAAAAAACATATAAGTAAACTAGTAATAAGTTAATTAAAAATGGCTATCTTTATATTTAATTATAAAATTAATTAATTAAAAAACAATACTACAAGATTACAAGGATATACTTGCCTGCTTTATTTGTTTATTTATTTATTATTATTTTTTTCAAACTAAACATGATGATTTTCTTCATAAAATTTGTCAAACTGACGGCATGCATGCAAGACAGTATTAAGATTGACTGCCAAAATAATGGTACACATTAAACATTATTCCAGGTTCATAACTCTGAACCAGAAAGACAATTATTATTGGTAAACGACGCCGCTTCAAGGTGATCATACGCCTCCAAACTCGCCGGAAATGGCCCACAGAGGTTGTTGTGACTCAGATCCAAGTGTCCTATATACCTCACGGACGACATCGTTTTTGGCATCTTACCCTTCAACTTGTTGTAGGACAAATCGAGTGTAGTGAAATACGATTTGGAGCAGAACACGTCCGGTATACAACCTTCGATACAGTTCCGGCTCAAGTTCACTATATTCAAACCGGTGTTGCTCAACAACGTCGACGGAATCTCGCCGGAGAGTTGGTTGCTGTCTAAGTTCAACGTCGAGAGGACTCGCATTTCGCCGAGTTGGGAAGGGATCGAACCGGAGATCTGGTTCATGGAGAGGTCTAGGTCGGCGAGTCGGCGGAGGTAAGCGATTGAGCACGGTATTGATCCAGTGAGCTGGTTTCGACTCAGTAATGCTCGGCTCATCATTTTGAGTTTACCGATATCCGCCGGAATTTCGCCGGATATTTTGTTGTTGCTGAGATCGAGGTGCTTGAGGATGTCGAGTTTGACGATAGACGGAGGGATTTCGCCGGAAATTTTGTTGTCAGCGATATTGAAAACGGTGAGTCGACTCAGTTTGCCGATGTCTGCCGGTATTTGTCCGGTGACTTGGTTTCCGATGAGGTCAAGGATCCCGAGATTGGAGAGGGAAGTGATACAAGCCGGAATATCTCCGGAGATACCCTTCCAGTCGGCGACGATGAGAGTGGTCAGACCGTCGAGTTGGCAGAGTGACGGCGAGAGTGAACCGGTCATGAAGCCAGACCGGCCAGCTTTTTCGAATATCGGGTCTTCGGACTCACCTCGGAGGGTTAAATCGGAGACCCGACCGGCCGTCGGGTCGCAGTTGACGCCGTACCAGTTGTGGCAACAGTCAGTGCCTGACCACGAGTCGAAGATGCCCAAGTAGGGCTCGCTGAGGGCTTCTTTGAAGGCCAAGAGAGCAGCCCTGTCTGACGGCGGACAGGAGTTAACGGCTAAAGTAACGGCGAGTATGATGAGTGAGACCAAGAACAACCCCATTTCTCAATCTGGGAGGTAAGAGCTAGCACTGATCTCTCTCTCTGATAATATGTTTCTCTCTCTAGAATAAGTGAGTGTGTACTGTGTGGTGTTTGTGTTTACAGAGTCTGTGATGTAATAATGGAGTACGTTGTTTGTGGCATCTCTGACCTTCTTCCAGAGTAGAGACAGACTAGACATTATGGGGGTGTTTGGGTCTTGGCATATAGATTTCAATAGACGGAAATACCCTTATCGTAAGCATAATAACAGTAAAGGACGACCAGTTGGTGATGGGTCATTGGACGACAGTTGGTGATGGGTTATTGGGGAGGAGATTAAAGAATTCACGTGACCGTATCTTACCCACGAGTCACGACTCGATCATTAAGTGAGTTCAAACATGTCAATTATTATTATTATACTTTTATAAAATTTTCATATCAGCTCCACGAAATTACCAAAAAAACATATATCTCACACAAATTCCTAGGTCCATGAGTTACAGGGATGTCAATAGCATTCTTAGGAGTTGGATTCGGTGCTATCAACTGTTGGTGTTTTTCAATTTTGGACGGACCAAATTCGACCACGTCAGCAGTCTACTTAACCTTGGTTTAGGGGTTGGTTTGGTTTCACCACCCACGGTTAAACCAAATTTTTCAAAATTTGGTTTTCAAATCCTGTCCAAATAATTTCAAATTCAGTCAAACCCTATTAAGAACCCTACTTTCAGCCACTTTCTGCCACTGAAGCGTAAAATACCCACAGTTTTTCAATCACTGTTCGACGCTGAACCCTAACCCTAATTCCCTCTCTAACTGTTCATCTTCCTAATTTTCAGGCACCGGACACAGAGCACCACTTTTGGTTGGGCCTGATTGAGTCAACTACTATAACCACTTTCGTTTGGCCAGCCTTCCCCAAAAAACGTTTCGCCTTAGTTCGAATTGAAAATTCTAGGGTTTGGTCCCTTCACTTCACCGTTGCGAATCTTTAGCCCTCTTTTTCCTATTATGTCTCTCCACGTTCTCATGTTGACTCGTAGTGTACGTAAAGGTAAACACGTCCAATTTGCCACCCCTTTTGATACCGATACAAAGGATGATAGCTACTATCCTTCGGATTTTATGGCTTCTTCTCCAGAAGATGATAGTTTTGATGACGAATATATTGATGAAAGAGTCGGGAGCTCTGAAAAAGAGAGTGGAAAGCATAAGCCGAAACAGGATAGGGTCGGGAACTCTGAGAAAAAGAGTGGAAAGCGTAAACGAAAACGAGAAATAGTCGTGAGCTTTGATAAAGAGAGTGGAAACCATAAGCGGAAACGGGAGAGAGTCTGGACTTTTCAAAACGCAAGGCCACATCCTGCAGGAGCATACTTCATATTTAGGTAACTGTTATTTTCACTACTTCGGTAGACTATAAATGTGTAACATGGAAGTCTCATAATGCCATATTGAAGGATATAACATAACTTCGAAAGGATATGTTCTCAGAGATTCAAAAGTTGTTTGGGAATCATGTGCACAAAATTACTCCAAAACACAGACGTAGCCTTATGAAAGTAAAAAAATACATGGCATAAATTAGATTGGAGTAAAACCAAACTAAAACAACAATTAACATATCATTGATTGTTCCGTGCTTCGTGAAAAGTGACAGTAATCCTTAATGAACCCTTGTCACCATATTCAAAGGCCTGTAATATTTTTATTGCTTACAAACACACAAAAGAGGAATCAATATTTGGAAAAGTGTAGATATGCTAACAACTAGTGTCGGTTTATATGCTATTTATCAGGTCTGAATGTTTAAGAGTAAGAAAGTTCATAGGAGTCAAAAAGAGCATGATTTCTTTTACCTTGGGATTAGAAAGGCTTGGGATAATATGGAGCCGGACAAGAAGAAGAAATACAAAGACGCGTTCAGAACTGAAATGGAACAGTACAAGCTTGCTCATCCCAAATCAAAGCAAAACAAAAAAAGGTAATACATTAATTACTCTTACCCTTTTGTAGATTTATATCATTGAATCAATTTTATTTTAAATGTCTTAAAAAGGATAGAACAAATATGTGTGCAAGAAAAAATAAAATAAAAAGATAGTTAAATATGTAAATTATTGTACCAGAGATCTGTACAATTGTTTGTGGTTATTTTCGTCTTAGACTTTCGGTTTTGAACCTTTATTTGTTTCAACCCTTATTTCATTTAAACTTCCACCCAAATATGGTTCATAAGTACAAATGTTAACCTTGGAATGTTGGGTTTAGCAGGTGTGTTACGCAATATCTCAATAAACATAAAATGTATATTAATTGACAAATATGACTAAAATGTTTACGTAATTTAACCTTTGAATGTCAATAATGGTAATCCAAAACATGAATCATTGGATTATCACTAATATTTGTGGTATGGTTTTTTGGTGCAATAGGTCAAATGCCATAAAATATATATAAATTGAGAAATATCACCCTCCACTATAGTCCTAACTCCTAACATGCATTATTATGATACATCAGTCTCATTTATGTCACCACTGAACAACATGCAATGGATGCACATTGACACAAATCGCATGCCAGTTCATCTTCATCAATTGCCGAACTTTCCCAAAACATTTCACACTTCATTGGACAACAATCAGGAAACCTATCGATTATGGGTCCCCACAGCAGACCTCGTTCATGAATGATTGCTATCATGGTACTACGCATGTCCTTCTCTTTCATCAAAACATTCCAATCTTTCTTAAGATCTATGAGTACATTTATGCTAGAATACTTATTAATGTCGTTGCCATTTAAAAGTATAATAGCCAAGGTGAAATCACAACCTACATGTCCCAAAGATTTTCCTAGCGAAAGGTATTTGAATCCCTCCTCCCACGTATAAATGTTATCATTATTAGTTGCTGCAAAACATAGCTCATGTACTAAGAAATTACTTCAAATTATAATGAAGGTAACATAAAAATTACATTTTTTTTAATACTACATAACTAACTGTGGTTGCAGGCCTTACAACTCCGACGACAAACATGGCATCTGAATTATTGCTTTCAATACATGTTTTTAGCAATTTGCTTTTCGGTTGGTCTAAATGGAATACTAGGTCTTGTTGTATTCTCCTTATTGACTCGAACGATAATTGTTGGAGAGTTTCTCGCTTACATCCTAAATTATAAAGCTTCTTAGAACTGCATGGTGGTTCGTTGTCGCAACACTCCAAATTTGTGCAAAAATAGTGTGGCCAAGTTTTAAATTTATAAAAAGCCACTACTAACTCTAACTACTAAATATAGTTAGGGTGCGTAGGGATCATCCCAAGGAATTGTGGGCATATTTGCAATGGAAACAATAAATAGGGTTAGTAGGTCAAGTGATAAAAAGGTGGTTTGTTTGGTTGATTAAACTACAATGTAAATGAATGCAATACTAAGCAACTTAAGTAAATAAAATGGTAGAGAACAATAGAGAGATGTCTTGGGATTTAGAGGTCACCATTAAACATGTGATACCCCCGGATTTCCGAATGCGTGTTGGCCAGGCCCACGCCCGAATACCCAAGGATATCAAAACAAATTGATAATAAACGAACACAGAGTACAAAAGAATAAAGAAGAATAAATGAAATGTTGACAAGAAACTAAAATGATAATCTAATAATAAACCTCAGAATATATTTCCATTAATTAATAAACTATTCTGATACAACTGATCGTCCAAAATACAACTCGGGAATCCAGACTGTGTGGACCCCTAGAAAATTCAAACTAAACAAATGACAGCAATAACTGTCTAAATCAGGAAACTGAATCATAAAGGAACTCCTATGTAGCATCGGAAGAATGAAGTAGACTGATCCCTACTCAGCACGAACAACCTCTACTCCTGACGAACACTTAAAAAATAACGGTGGGTCAGACCCACAAACAAGTTCTACTCTAATACAGTCCAAGCAGAGATCCGATACACGTATACATCATAGTCAATCCAACAGTAACTAGTAGTCCGTATATATATATATATATATATATATATATATATACACACACTAAAGGAACCTCACTAGACTACAGGGTTGTCTCAACCTGAATAGTAGACAACATGCAAAACGCACATATAGTGGGCATGAGTACCTAGACCTACCAGGTACACAACTACACTATATCTAGATACACATCCCTGGCGATATACGCGCCCTAACCACTGATCCTGAGACTCAAACTTATATCATGGCACCATACTTATATATATATAATCTAGTAACCATCCTATCCAGTATAAATTAATCCTCCATAAGTCATTCAACTTGTTCAGCTGACCTGACTTGAATATAAGTAGGACTTAACATTTTAGTTAATCCATTCCCTTATATAATAAATTAATCCTCCATAAGTCATTTCAACTTGTTCAGCTGACCTGACTTAAATATAAGTAAGACTTAACATTTTAGTTAATCCATTTCCTTATATAAAATATATAGGACTTAACTGATAAGTTAATCCATTCCTAGAATACCACCGTCCCATACCGGTGCATTAAATCACACAATCCAACAATTGATATAACTATTAAGGAAATACATCAAACATTCCATAAATAACTATGATAAATATGATATCAAGTTATCACATAATATGAATGACTTATTATTTCTTTAAACTTCCTATATCATATGTCCTACACAAACTGAATCTTATACATAATGATATTTTATTATACCGTTAAATAAATATTCTCTATATCCAATTCATCCTATACATTTAATCTCAATTGCTAAAACATTTTAAAAGATTAAATCCATTCATTTCTTTAAAACATTTAAATAGCAAACATCATTATGATTGAGTCTATTTAAATTTATTAAAACCCAAACCTATTCCCTATTTAATGTTCAGGAATCCTAGGCATGTTTCTACGTTCCATCACTCCACAGATATGAAAAATACATAATTTACACATGTAAAAATTCACACAAGAAATCAAATCAAAATCATGCATTTTATCAATTCATAACACAAGAACAGATATGAACCAATTTCATAAAACCTATATTCTAATCCAATTAAACATGCATAATTATTTAATTTTATGTATTTAATAAATCCTGAAATTTCCTAGGCATGTACAGAAACACGAATCAAAAGGGAAGAGATAGAAGAAGAA